ACCTGGCACAGCCGTGCCCAGACACCACCATGCTGCTCTCTAATGCTGCAGACGCCCCTGGGCTACTACTAGAGCCCGCACTATTGCTGGGCCAGGAGGGCCTCCCAGCTCTCCCAGGCCCCTCAGCAGTGCTCCCTAGTCTGGATGCCTCCAGATTCCAGGAGTTGCAGAAACACTACAAAGATTTGCTGACCAGGCTGTGAGTGAGCCCCAAACTCCTGTTAAAGCGTGAGTGAAATCTCAGAGACCACCCCCCGGGGCAGTCCCCATGTCTAACCAGTGTTCCTATGTCACAGAGGCCCAGCCCCACTGCTGAGCCTCAGTTTAACCCAACTGTGAACATACAGGAGCAATCCATTCCCCCTCAGTATTGATAAGGGATCAAGCAGCCTTATTTGTGGCCAGACAGGGTGGCGCTCAGCCGAGTTGGATTGTTAAAACCCCGTCCTGGATGGCAGATGTAATGCAGCAGTCCCAGAGAGAGCAGTGACTCTCCTGAAGGTGTACAGCGCCTGGAGAAGCCGGAGGGGCAGTGCTGGGATGGTCTGGTTCCTGCCTGTGGCCGGGGGAGGGGTCCCAGGAGGAGAGACCCTGGTTTGCCTGTGGAGGAGGGGGAGGGAGAGGATGGGTGGAATCTGCCCAGGTTGGCTCCAGATTTAAAACAATCTCAGCCCAAACACCGTTCAAGTCACTAGAAGCAGGTTCCATTGAGAATTTTCCCCAACCTCTTGTCCTTCACAGAGGCTCCAGGGGGCAGAAGGATATCTAGGATGGTGGGGGGTAGGGGGGTTGAGGCCCCAGGGAGTGCTCTAATCCCTCCATAATCTCACCTGTGCTGTGTGACTCCAAGTAAACCTCTGTCATCTCTGAACCTAGCGACCAGGTTGGGGGCCCTGGAACCACAGAACCACCCCACAGTTGTCCCCAAGACCTGGACCAGTCTTGGGGGGTGGTCTGAGGATCCTGGGGTTCCTCTGTGGTCTGATACCCCTCATTTCTCAGATATAGAAAACAAGACCCAAGGAGTTGAGAACACAGCAGCTGAGTGCTGTATACCTGGCCCCAGGCACTTCTTAATAGGCCTTCAATTAAAATGTTTTTGACTGCCAGGAGGAGGAGGCAGAGAAGAGTTTAAATCTCAGTCTCTTTGAGTGTCAGGTACACATTCATTCCTGCAGTACTTACTAAGCCCCTACTGTGTGCCAGGCACAGTGGTGACCAAGCCGGCAGAAGTCCTTGCTGACACTCTAGTAGGGGAGGTGAAATGATACGCAACCAAATTAAACAGAGTGGTGCCTATTTTAGGCTGGCTGGAGGGATGCCAGCATGCTGACATTCAGGGGAAGAGCATGCCTGGTAGAGGAAGCGGCTGTGCACAGGCCCTGAGGTGGGGTCCAGTTTGGCGTGATGGAAGAAATGGGCGGCACTCCCCCCTCCACGCCCGGCACATAGTAGACTCACTGGTGGCTGGCTTCTCCTTACCCACGGGGAGCCTCTGGCCCAGCTTCCCCTTGACCCATGAGAAGCCCCTCTTTCTCCAGGTCCTGCTCCTGCTGCCCCCAGTGGCATCAAGCCCACTGAGTCTCACAGTCCCTGCAATGCCAGCTGGGCCAGGGAGTCAGTTCATCGCCCCACCTGGAGGTCGTGTCCAGGGCCCTGAAGCCCTGGTTCGGCCAAAGATAGAACCTGTCGCTGGGTCTGGGGCCCTCACCAGATCAACCAGAGTGACAGCAGCGAGGGCCTGATCCAATCCTCCGCCCACAGGTGAGAATGGTAACACTTAGGGAGAGGGCAGCATTTGCCACGGTTCAAGTCTGGACCTTGTTAATTTCTAACGGATGCCAAGTGCGCATGCCAACAGACCCTGTCCCTGACTCCCTGACTCCCTGTAAGCCCTCCCCACACTACCACTGGGTGGTGCCATTCCCACCCTTTGCAGAAGGGGAACCCGAGGCTCAGGTGTTGTGCCATCTGATGGTCGGGATTCCCAGACTTCTGAGGGACCGTTCCAGCCCCAAGCTGCTCTGCTCTTCGCTCCCCTCCGCGTCCCCTCCTCCCTCGCCTGCCTTCCCTTCCGCTGCCCAGAGACCCACCGAAGTGCCTGCCTCTCCATCACATACGGGCACGGAGCAGACGCACAGGACAGGACAGAGAGAGGCAGACGCGGCCTCTAGGAGGTGGTCCTGGCTCCCCACTGCAGGGCCACGGGCCCCCACGCTGTTCGCGGGGCCGGGGCCTGAGGCGAGTGGCTTCCGCGCCCACGCACTCTGTCTCCTGGAATCCCGGGGAGCGCTGCTCCGGCCCTGGGCCCCTCGCTGCCCAGGCTCTTGGCCGCAGTGTCCCCAGAGCTGCGGGCGGCCCCGTCTGGAGGTTGGGAAGCAGAATTGGCATCCCGCCTGTCCCGTGGCTCCCCCAACATCTCAGGTGTCTATTTTGACCTAAATGTCTCTGGAGGAAAAACTGCCGAAGGTGGCTGCGTTTTCTGTCCCCCATGGAGCGCCCAGCCCCTGCAGCCCCCTGAGTTCCTGAGTGCCTTGGCTGAAACCCCACGTCTGGGACCCCCAGGCCAGGGAAGGGTCTGCCAGACTTTGTGGGGGGCTGGGCCCTGGGAGACCCCAAACTTGGTGCCCATAAAGTGAATAAAACAGTTGACATGTGTTATTTTCTCGTGTGTCTCTGTGTGAAGCTGGCATCCCCCAGGGTCACCCTCAGCCTGGGGGAGTCGGCCGGTGGAGGGGCCCCGAGTCCCTGGGATTTCTGCTCCCAGTGTGTGGCCTGGTGCACAGCTGGTGGCTGTTATGAGTGTGCTGAGTGAATAAGGATGAGAGGAGTTCTGTACTGCCTGGTTTCCCTCTTACAACCCAGTGCCTTTGTTCTGATGCACAGAGAGGTTAAGTAACTTGCCTGAGGTCGCACAGCAGGGAGAGGGAGGTGGGATCTGAATCAGTATGTTGATCTCCATCGCGTGCTAAATCCCGCTCCCGTGTCTTCACAGACCCTGACATGGAGGGCAGTTCCACCTTTTACAGAAGGGGAAACAGGCTCTGCCAGTCGAAGCCCTTTGTCCCATGTGTCACCAGCAGGGAGATAAGGGTCAGAAACGGAACCGAGGCCCACTTTTCTGGAGCTGACAGCTGTCTGTCCGGTCTGTTGGGACATGAAACAGGGCAAAACTCCTGATGAGGCTTTTAAGTGTAGAAAAGCCAGTCACAGACAGACCTGCAGGGTCCCGTGGCAGGATCCCTCCGAATGCCAGGTAAATAGCTTAGTCAAAGGCAGGACATGCGAGGTCCCCGGTATGGAGTGGGTCCCTCCTCCCAGGGCAGCTGCTTGCCTCTCTGGGCTTTACTTCCCTTTTCCATGAACGGAAATCCATGTGAATGACATCCACAGGCTGGTGTCCAGTGAATGCCCATGTCTCATCATTATTGATCCTGCTGGGGTGCCAGCTTGGACAGTGCCCCCTTTGCCCCCCCCCCAGGTTAAGCGGTGGCACTGGTGTCCCTGGCTGATCTGCCTCAGTCATGTTAGGATTACCCAGCAGTTTGTCTGGCTTGCCCTGGCCGGGCCTGTGCAGGGGGCTTGGCCATGTGGCTGCAGAGTGGGCCTCAGCTCCTTGTCTAGTCAGTCCAGCACCCTTTGTAGAGCACTTACTGTGTGTGCCAAGCTGGTAAGGCATGAGGCCTATTCTCCCAACCAGCCGCAATCAGGATGGAAGTGATGAGCAGGTGTGTTTACTGTGCACCCCTGGAGTGGTAGGAATGTCATGGGGGAGCCTTGGGGCCTCTCCCAAAGCCAGGCACTAACCACATGCACGGAAGCTAAGACTGAAACTCCGGGAGCCAGAGTGTGTGTGTACTGGGGTTGGGGAGGCCTGGATCCTATTCCTCCAGAGGGAGACTTGCGTGTGACCCCTGGCCATTATACCACTCTCCTGCACATGCTCTGCCACACTTTACACACCCCCACGATCTGCCTCACACAGCCACCTATCCAGCCACGAAGCTGGAAGCAGGCACAGGGGCCAGTGGTGGGGCCAGCAGTCCTGAGCAGTGGAGGAAGGTCTAGGGGTCACCCAGGGGGAAGCGTGTTCCTGGGTCACCCTCTGCCCCTCCACCATCTGATGGCTGGACCTGACACCAGCCCTCTCCATCCTAAGCCCCACCACTGCAATTCCCTGCCACCTCCTGGGCCCAGAGGAGCTTTATCTGTCCTATTCAAGCCTTCAAGGCCCCCAGTCTGGGATAGACAGAGCCAAGCACAGACACTCCCAGTGCCGTGGGGTCAGGCCAGGGCTGGAGGAAAGGCTGAGAGTTGGGAGCATCCAAATGAACCTGAAAAAGTAATTATGAGAGGAGGTTTCTTGGATGAGGGGCTTTTTGAGTGGGGTTTTGAAGAATGACTAGGAGTTTCCCCACAGCTGAGAATGGGTACCTGCACAAACGTGCACCTACTAGTCTGGCCAGGTCCTTTACACCTCATTTGCCCTTCTCTCCAGTGAAAGTTTTAGCTATTATTTCCAAGATGCAGAAAAGGAGGTCTGATGGAGAGGAATGAGTTGTCCATGGTTGTGGTTCCTGGATCTTTCTCATCTGCTTGCTTTGTTTTTCAACATCTTCAACCTTTGACCCCACCCAGAGGTAAGAGAGGGATTCCTACGGGGGAGGGAGTCCACTTCCTAAACTCTTTCTATGGAATTTAGCATAGGAATAAGTCTTTTTTGACAGACTCTTCTTTCCATCAGCCCATCAAGCTGGGGTGATGTCCCCATTTCATGGAAGAGGATACTGAGATTTGGAGCGGCTCTTGGGGTGGGGGTTCCCCAGCTTCCCCTGAACACTCCTCCCCCAAAGCGCGTCCTCCTAGAAAGCTGCCCAAGACCCAGCTGTGGTCCCTGGAATGTTTACTCTGCCCCCAAGGAAGGCGGGACCAGGCAGGCGGAGGCGGACAAAGTCCGGGTACTATAAAGGCCGGTCCAGCAGCGTCCGGTCAGTCCCAGCTCCGTGCTCAACCAAGCACAGCCATGCCCGGGCCGAGACTGGCCCCACTGCTCGGCTCTCCCACACTGCTGCAGCTGCTGCTGTTCTCCTGGCTGCCTTCGGGAGGCGCCCCATCTCCCGCCCAGGAGCACCTCCGGGCCTTCCCAGGACCCTCAGAGATACACTCCAGTCCGGACGTTTCCAGATTCCGGGAGCTGCGGAAACGCTATGAAGACCTGCAGACCAGGCTGTGGCTCACCCAGAGTTGGGAAGACTCGAACCCGGACCTCATTCTCACAGCTCAAGTCCGCATACTCGCCCCAAAGCGTAAGTGAAATCTTGGAGACTCCCTGGGCAGTTGCTATCATCTGTCCAGTGGTTCTCAGTCATAGAGGCCCATTTATGCTGCCGAGCCTCAGTTTCCCCATTTGTGAACCCAGCAGTAACTTCCTTCCCCTGGAGCTAATGGGGGAGCTGGCAGCCAGGTTTGCGTTGGGACAATTCGAGGCTTAGCCAACGTGAGATGTTACATCTCCTCGGACTGCAGATAGCGAAACTGAGGCCCAGAGGAGCCAACGACTGTCTTGAAAGCTCAGTCTGGTGAGCCCAGAGACGAGGTGGACGGGCGCGCCATCCCTGTGCCGGGATGTAGTGGGGGAAGGTACAAAGGGATCCAGGGGAAGGATTCAGGGGCGGGGACAGAGCTTCCGCTAGTTGCTAATCTGACGCAATCACTTGAAAAGGCACTGCAAGTCGCTCCCGGCAGGTACCTTAGGGAGGGAGAGTATTTTCCGCTTTTCTGGAGGCTCCAAGGGGCTGGAGAGGGCGGGAGATCCGCGCTGTGCTTGGAAGTAGGTTAGGAGAGAGTCTGGCAGAAGGCAGCGCTCTGTCCCACCCACTTGTGCTGTGAGACTCCAGGTAAAGGTCTTGCCCACTCTGAGCCTAGTGACTGCGTCGAGAGCCCTCATACATCCGTCCCCCCAGTATCCCCAACACCTGTACCAGCCCGGGGGTCTGAGAATCCTAGTGCGCCAAGTATCCCTCATTTCTCAGATAGGGAAACTGAGACCCAAAAAGTTGAAAACACAGCAGCTGGCTGCTGTGTCCCGGCTTCAGGCACTTAGTAGGCCTTCATTTAAAATGTTTTTGACTGCCAGGAGGACTGAGAGGCAGCGTTTGAACCTCTGAATGTCAGGTACATACACATTCATTCCTGCTAGTGTTACGGAAAATACTGAAAAAAAGCCTGGACTGGATCACCGACGGAAAAAACCAAGCGGCACTCAGAGGTCTTGGAATGTTGAGGCTTTATTTCACACCGGCGGGCTCAGAAGGGAGTAATCTCCCAAAAAGTCTGAGCCCCGAACAAAGGAAAAGGGATCAATTTATACCTTTCAGCTTCCTTATCTGTAACATTCCTACGTGCACAGCAAGCGAGAAGGCAAAGGGGAGGGAGTTTAGGGAGCGAACCTTGGGACCCGGTGCTCGGGAGCAAGGGGAGACCAAGGGAGTATTTTTTTTGTTTGGGTTGAGGAGGGGGGCGAGGCGGAGGGGAGCCAACTCGTAAATTACTGTCCTTGTAGTGTTGTTTATGTTGAGGAGGGAGGGGTGCGAGAGTGGAGCCACCCGCTAGGTGGCTGTCCTTGTAAATTTTCCCTATCACTAGTATTTACTAAGCCCCCTACTGTGTGCCAGGCACAGTGGTAACTAAGCAGACGGAAGTCCGTGCTGATACACTAGTAGAGGAGGCAAAATGATACACAACCAAATAAACAGGGTGGTGTCTATTTTAGGCAGACTGGTGGGATGCCATCACACAAGAGTGTGCCTGGTTGAGGAAGTAGCTGTGCAAAGGCCCTGAGGTGGGGTCTAGTTTGGTGTGTGGAAAGAAATGGGCACCCCCGCGTCCGGCACTGAGTAGGCCTATTCTGACTGGTTTTCCTTTCTCTCTCGCACAGTGCGACTTGGGCCGGGGGACCACGTACACCTGCGCATCCCCTGGGCCAACATGACTGAAGGGCTCCCAGCGGCCTCCCGCCTGCATCGGGCTCTGCTCAGGTTGTCCCCGACGGACCTGAGTTCGTGGGACGTGACGCGGCCTCTGCAGCGTCAGCTCAGCCACGGAGGTTCCAGGGCGCCCGCTCTGCGTCTGCGGCTGTTGCCCCCGTCCGACCGGTGGCGAACTGCGTTGCCTTCTGCGCGGCCCCAGCTTGAACTGCACTGGCGGACCCGCGCCGTCAGAGGGAGCCGCAGTGCGCATGCGCGCTCCAGGGACGGTTGCCCTCTTGGGGAGGGGCGTTGCTGCCGCCTGCAGAGCCTGCGCGCGTCGCTCGAGGATCTGGGCTGGGCCAGCTGGGTGGTGGCGCCGCGCGAGCTGGACGTGCGCATGTGCATCGGCGCGTGCCCGAGCCAATTCCGGTCGGCTAACACGCACGCGCAGATGCAGGCGCGCCTGCATGGCCTGAACCCCAACGCGGCTCCTGCGCCGTGTTGCGTGCCTGCCAGCTATGAGCCGGTGGTGCTAATGCACCAAGACAGTGAAGGCCGCGTGTCGCTCACGCCCTTCGACGACCTCGTGGCCAAGGACTGCCACTGTGTATGAGTGTCCCCAGCCCTACACTAAGGGCGTGTGCGCAATGGAAGTGACCTCAGTCGTCTTGGCCTGTCGAATGGGCTCGTGGGGCCTGAAATACCCAATTCCTAACCACTGCTGTCTGCCCCCTCTGCTCCTTTCCACCCAAACCACTGTATATTTATATAAGTTTGTATTTATTATTAATTTATTGGGATGATCTGCCTGGGGACTGGAGGGCTGGTCTGACAAGGTGTACATTTATTTAAAACTCTGGTAATAAAAATGAAGGTGTCTGACCTGAACCCTGTGATGTCCCAGATGGAGCTGGTGACCTTGGGAAGAACTCACCCTTATTTGGCCTTAGTTCCCACAGGGGACCTGGTAAAGGTGCGAGTGGAATGGTTCAGGGAATGGGTGGTGGGGCATTCTTGGGGTGCCAGGCAATTGGATGGCACTCTTGACCCCAACAGGCCTCAAGGGTAACCTGGGCCACCCCTCCTTCTCTCTCTCTCTCTGCTTCTGTATCTCCCTATTCTTCTGTGTTTCAGTCCCTTCCATGTCTTCTCATTTCTCAGTATGCCTATTTCTAGGGTTACCTGGCCCTCTTTCATGGTCCTGCTGTCTTGCCCCATATTGGAGTCCATTCCAAATAGGCAGCCCAGAGTCATGTCCAACCACAATCAAGCACATCATTGTGTGACACTGCCCCCAACTTAGAAGAGTCCCATCTCTTCTACTATTTGTGACTCCCACCTTCATGTTAATGATGCCTCCACCCTTTCATATATAAAGAGCAGAGAGAAATTAATAAGTTGTGAAGAACTTTTTCACACATACCAAATCTTCCAGGTTATATAGTCTTCCTACTTAGGATCTTGGAATCACTGAGATTTGCCAAATCCAGACCCCCTCCCCACACCCACCTGCCTGTCCACAAAACCATCTGACTTAAGCTAGGTAAGTGAGGGAGACAAATGAGTGCAAAGATGTATCATAAGAAAGTGGCTGATCGTACTAAGGGTTGTGCTGAGGAGTCAGTCCAGGCAATGCACTAGTGAGTGGAGGCAGAGGTGATTTAGATGGTCAGGGGAAGGAGCCTCCCTTATTAGGTGACATCTGAATTGAGATTTAGAGAAATAATAAGACCCAGGGAAGAATTGGAGGATGGGTATTTGGGGCTGACAGGTGCAAAGGCCCTGAGGTGGAAACAAGCTCAGTGCCCAGAGGCAAAACTGTTGAAGATGAGGCCAGGGTGGTTGGTGGGGGCCAGAGCCCACCGAATCTCATGGGTGGCTGTGAGGGGTGGGGATGGTGGGAAGAGCACTAAGGAGCTTGGGAGGAATGGGATCTGGTTTTTGCTCAGAGGTGGAGGACAGGTGATTGGGCTGGAGTGGAGGCTCAGTCAGGGTCTAGGCTGGGGATGAAGGGGTGCAAGGAAACTGAAGACCCTCATACATACCTGCCTGCACCCTAGGTCACCTCCAAGTGCTTGGGGAAACCAAGAGGGTTCAACATTAAACTCAATACCAAGGACACCCAAAGCTAGCACATGCCAGACTGAGTTTCTCTCCCAGATACCAGCTGTTTGTTGGCTTTGCTGGACTCTGTGGTGCACATGTGCCTTTTCACACCTCCAGGCTGGTGCTTGCCAGGCTGGTCCCCCTGCCCAGTACGCTTTGTCCCCTCTACTTCTCCAACACCCATGCATCCTCCAAAACCTACTCCAGATTCCCCTCTTACATGCAGCCTTTTCCAAACTCCTTCATTCATCCCCTTCTGAGGCCTCTGGCCTCATCACTCCCTCCAGCCCAGGCCTGATCTCCCAGGACTGGAGGTGTCTGTGTCCTGTTGTGTCTCCCCTAATAAGGGGCTTGGCAGGAGCCAGCCTGGGAGCAGCCGACAGAAAACCCAGCTGAACCATAGCTTGAACAATCTCTCAAAATACCCTGCGCTCTGAGAGTAACTAACTCTGCCTGAGGAGGAGCCAAGGAAGGTTTCTCAGGCAAGAGGCCACTGCACCTGGCCCTTGAAGGACAAATTAAGGTATCTCAGGAAATTAGAGCTAAACCAGCCTTAGAGAGCAATTCAAACAGCAGGGGAACCAAGGCCAAGAGAGTTAATATCAGAGTCAGAATGTAGGCCCATGCCTCCTGATGCCCAGGCCAGAGTTCTGCATCTGAATTAAGATGTTTGAAAGTAAGAAAATGTTGAAGAGGATGGCATTCTGGGAAAATGACAAGGGCAAATGGAAGCTTCAGGAGGGAGGCTGGCTCGGTGGGGAGGAGGCGCAGACAAGAAGGGCAGAGAGATGGAAGGGAGCAGGGAGGTGAGTAGGGCTGGGTCCTGTAGGTCTCAAACACCAGGCTGAGGGTCTGGGGGCAATGGGGAGCCATAGAGGATGTGTGAGCAGGGGAGGGACACAGTCTAATTCATGAGTTCTAAAGATCCCTCTGGGACTGAGGTGGGCTGCCCTGGGGGCTGAGCCTGGATACCAAACGCCCAGGAAAGGGGCCTGAGAGGGACAGACAGAAGGGTCTGGGGGTGGGGAGCAATCTGGGAGGCAGAGGCTGGTTTGGAAACCAGTTCAGGAAATCCCCACGGTCAAGAACCCACTGGCTCAGAGCCAGCAGCTTCCTCAGCCCCGCAGCATTTATTGAGCCCTGTGTGCACACCAACAGGAGGCTGATCACGGAATCCACACATTGACCTGCTTATCCCCATACTGGACCTCTCCTCCTCCCCTTCTAGGAGTGGAGAATCAGAGCAGAGACTGGGAGGGAGCTGCAGAGCCCCCCTGGGGCCTCAAGGATGAGCCTTTCCCTGTCCCATTCCTCAGATGGGAAGACTGAGGCCAGAGAAGTGCTGGAATCCCCTAAGAGCCAGGAAGTGGGCAGGCTGGGGTTCGAGATATCAAAGGCTCAGCGCCCGGGGATCACGTACTCCTCTTCATCCAGTGGGGCCCGGCCCAGTGACTGCAGGTTGCAGTAGACAGGCTGGGATGTATGGTCAAGACCCTCGTAGTTCATATAGAAGTCACTGTCCTCTGCAGGGTAAGTCCTGTGGAAACAGACAGACAGGAGTGGAGGGAGGGCTCGGTGGGGGCAGGCATGTCAGATTTGAGAGGCAAAGAAAGTTCAGGGCAGCTGAGTCCCCTCCTAATATGTACATATGAGGAAACTGAGTCACAGGGTAGTGTTCCATCAGCCTAGTCCAACTTTTTCTGAGGAAAGGAAGTAGGGGCCAGTGATTCAGGAGGGATTCTGTGGATGCGGCATTGTAATACTGCAGTCCAATGACCTTGAGCCATTGTAGGGTTTTTTCTTCCTTGAAGTTGAGATAGTTGCCTGTTCTTTATATTAAAATCTAGACTTTGGTTTTCCTCTTGAAAAATCGGATGCTCTAGTCACACCAGCCACGTGGACACAGTGACTGGAGCCAAACCTGTGCCCCTTCCAGGGGGAAATCGGGTCCCCCGAAGTGACTGACTTTTTGACCTCCATATAAAAAATCTCGGAGCCTCAGTCTCTGAGTCCATAGAATTGATCATGGAGGAAGTAGCTTCTTCTGCATGTCTAGCTATGGTAGGCAAGACCCCAGAGAAGAACCTTCCTGCTTCCAGAACATTCTAATCCCATTTGTCATATCCTCTTGGAACAAAGGCCACTGTGAGCATGTGGTGTCTATCAGTCATTCATACTTTAGTATTAATTACTCCAAACACATAAATGGTTATCTGGACAGAACTGGGAGTCAGGGTTTCTTTCCTGCCTCAGCTTCTGACGCACTGTGTGACCTTGAGCAAGTCATTCCCCTGCCTCACAGAGCCTCTGTTTCTGTAACTGTAAAATGTAGGGCGTTTGGAGGAGATTGGCCCTAAACTCTTAGTGACAGCAAGGCGGAGGCAAGGATCAGAGCACAAGCTGCTTTTCAGCAAGTCTAGCGCCTTCAACTTCCTACTGCAGACCACTTCTACTTTTGAGCCATATTTACATCTGCTTTACATATTCTCTCATTTCTCGCCAACAGCTTCCTACCATCTTCCCCACCTTGTAGATTTCCCTGCCCAAACCCATCCAGGGTCCCTGTTGCCTTCCTGCTTGGATCATCCCGGCCCATTCCAGTCTCAGCTCTTGTGTCTTGCCTTCTCAAAACTCATTCACAGAAGGTTCTGTTGTCTCCCACTTTCAGGCCTTTGCCCTGCTGTTGCTGTCCTCTAAAATCCCTCCATTCCCTCCTCCAACCTGGAAAAATGGAACCCATCTATTGAAGCCCAGCTAAACCTAGAGATGTCAGGGCTTTGTGGGGGAAAAGGGATAAAGGTGGCTTTCTTAATATTGCCTGTGTGTCAAAGGGAGGTGTGAGTGTGCTGTCCCCATTTTACAGAGACGGAAACAGAGGTTCAAAAACACACGCGATCTGAGCCCACACAGCTACCTGCTACCACCGAGTGCCACTCCGCACCAAACACTTGTCTCCTCTTTCCTCATCCTTGGCAGCCTGAAATTGGGTTTGCAGGTCAGAAGGGGTAAGCTTGTCTCATATACTGGAACTCGCTAGATTCTTATCCCAATTTCATGAGGTGAGGGGGAGGGCTGCTATTATCCCCATTTTACAGATGAGGAAACTGAGCCCCAGAGAGGTAAAAATACCTGCCCAAGATCACATAGCCTGCAAGAGGCAGAGTTAGGATTTGAACCCTGGCCGTCTGGCTCCAGAATCTTGCAGGACAATGTGTGTGGATCACTTACCCATGTTCTGCCCCTTGGTGTCCGGCAGCTGACTGGCCCATGAAGATGTTCTCATAGTCGGGCGTGGAGGGTCTGGGGGGTGTGGCTGCTGGGGGGTGTGGGCTGAGGCTCCGGCTGCTGTACCTCGGCTGCCGGCCGGAGCTGGACCTGGGGCCATCCTGAGCAGCCCACATTTTGCCTAGGCTCTGGCTCCTGACCATCCTGCATGTCTGGAGTCTCCAGGCTAGCACTAGACCAGCAGTGGTGAGCAGCAGGCTTCCACTAATCACTAGTGCCACGATGGTTGTCAGGGACAGCCCAGGGGGGCAGCCGACTTCCAGAAAGGTGGAGACATTGTGCCAGGTGCTAGTGGCTGTGTCCAGGCACTGCAGAGGCAGGTGGTCAGAGCAGTTGTTGTCCTGCCGGACCTTAAGCCAAGTTTCCAGGATGCATCTACAGTCAGCCTTCAGGTCAAGGTCACAGCGTTCAGCCAGTGCCCTGTCCAGGCGGCCCAGGGGGTTGTTTGTCACATTCAGGACCTTCAGCTCCCACAGTTGGGCAAAGAAGAGTGGTGG